AAGACTCATACAAACACACATGCATGCGAGTTTCCCGAGAAGGAACTGAAACTTCTCGTTGGGAAAGACCGTTGTTATTGAATTTCATGGATCCTCTCTGTTATTTTGTTCAAATATAATTAACTTTTAAATTTGTCTGATCTACTCCATCCCAACTGTTTTCATTTCCCTTACTCTCTCGGAAGCGACCACACATCATTTATAATCAAAAGTGACACATATCTCCGACACTCATTAATTGTAAACTAGTAGCATTCAATTTCTGGTGATATGATAAGTAAATAAAGATTCATTTCCGGAACAATACAACTTAATCATGCAGTTTATGCACTGTTTATGCTTCTTGTAAATTCCCAATTTTTAATTTAAACGCTTACTAAAACTTTATACTATAACTTTTCATAATCGTAATAATATCGCCTAATATATTGTTTTAGAGAGTAGGGATGAGAAATACAATGAAATTTTTCATGTTCACTATTAACCTACAAAATATCAAAGATGTGAAAGAGAAGGAACCAAAGAGTTTTTAACATTTGGAAGCAACTGCACATTTCTAATTCTTATGTTACTCGTTGAGTTTTGGTCCACATGCAACTGATCAATTTTAATATATTAATATAGCAAACGATAAACGGAATAATTAGTTTCAAGCATCTCCATAGCTTCTCGAAGAGTGCCAAACTTCATTTGCTCAAAGAGAAAAAGCTTATAAGGCAGTTACAGTATTCACTGCTCTAACACCTGAGTTACATGAAAATTTTTGGAAGCTAGTTACTGGATAAAGCATACATAGGACATACATATATATATAGCTAATCTTATTTGAAAATGCACCAAAATTCCAAGGACCCCTCATGCCTTCACCTTTATCAGTATGCTAGCTTTCAAAAAAACAAACATTCACTAATTACATCAAATTGTCTTAGTATCATTGCATACTGTAGCTCAACTTAGTGCTACAATTTTAAATGACGCGCTTCAGTTCATAACTCTTGTCTTAACAGCAACTATCAACTTGCATTGATCAGTAATTAGTGCACACGTCATCCAACCCTCCCATTTAAACAAACGCATAAAGAAATGAAAACCCGATGTCATCACCAAACCAACTGGCCCTCTCTCCATCTCGTTTTCACACTGTTGCAGCACAAAACTGACTCACCAAACACGGGCCAGACTACTAATATAATTAGTCTTATTGCTTTCCGAAGCTCCCAATGCGTATGGCTGGTGCTTCACCAATAATATGTACATCATCAACTATTCTGAATACCAAAGAAAATTCAATACTTGTTTCAAGTAGCCGCTGAATGTAAGTAAGGTCACATAGTTATGCTGAATACAAATCATCCTGTACGGCACTTTTAAAGATATTTTACTCAATAGCGAACTGATTGTATTAAACAAGGCGGTTATTCGTTCGTTCTATTGCAGATGTTAAAATAAATAATTTTTTTAAACTCAATTAAAATGCTGTTATTGCTTTCCTTCACATCTTTGTAAGACTCTTTGCTTATTCATCAGACAAGAAACACATATAATGCTAAAGCAATAGATAGGATTGCGTGGATGTAAATTTCAAAACACAGAAGATTTTACTTAAAAAATGCGTGTAAAGAAAGCATAGAGTGCAGAACCACATAGTGCATTTAAATTAATAAAGGCAATAAAGAAAAAATATTTCTTTTCTTTTGCTGCCATAAAAAGAGACTTCAAAATTATTTCATTTACGAAGGACACTTTCTTTCTGTTTCTATTGAAAACCAGATATATGCCATAATTCGAAGTTTCTGAAACTTCTCTGAAGTAAAAGTTAATACTGAACTTTCTGCTAAATAAAGAATGCTAAAAAATATTGAGACTTGAAGTGATTTTATTCATATTTTCATTTCAAAAAGTTTTGAAACTTTAAAAAGATGGTTCACGAAGCAAAAAAATTCAGAAAAGCGATAAAAAACAGGAGATCTTGGGTAACAATTTTTTTAGCGAATTAACGACAAATTGATTGTCATCTCAAACATGTTATGATGCAAAAGCGAAATTAGGGCAAGAAGAAATGAGTACTTCTGAACGTCTGGTTGAAATGCTAATTTAGTGAACTAATTTACTTCCTTATACATGAGGACTGAGTAGTTTTTATTTTAACTAATTTTATAAATTAAACACAAAAAAAAATTAAATCTATTTCTCGCCAGTATTTGAGTTGCTAAACGCATGATAATTATGAAAGAATAACCGAATGTATCATTCCAAGTAATGTCGAACTGGCCTGAGTGATCTGTGATAACGACGATTGCCTTTTGCGAAACGAAGTCCTTTTTTTTTCATGCCGTAGATGATTTGTTTATTAACTTTTATAGTTTTTTTAGGCGGTTTTTAGCTGCATGGTAGTAACTGTTTTCAAATCCCTACAGTGATAGGAGGATGGACAAAGTGGTTCTAATTTTGATACTTGGTCACAGTAATGTCATATGATCTCTTATCGTTGTCATTTACAAACTTCTAATTTTTTAATGAGAGATTCTTACTGTTTTCAGACATTTCTATCAGTTTTGTTTTATCTCCATTTATGATAGAAGAAAAGCAAAGGGCTGCATTAGAAAATTATTAATTTTTTCATTTGGGAGAAAAGAGTGCGTAAGTCAGCATAACTATTCCATTTTATTGCCAACCTCATAAATGCGGAATCCAGTGCTTGATTTTATGCTAATTTAAGATTTCTAACATTGATTTTTCTAGGAAGAACTGAAATAATAATTTCAGATAACTCATCTCTATTTCAACTCATCTACAATTAAAAAAAAACCTTCGGGCTGTTTGGAAGGACAAGTCTAGTTCTAATTGATTAATGGCATTTTCTTTTAACTTCAAACCCATTTTTTTGATCCCTTAGTGCTTTATCAAATTTATTCCATCATTTGATTTTAATTCAAGTTCAGCTATCCATCTGAAATCTATTATCCCGAAATGAAATTTGCATCAGAATGTTTTTAATAAACCTAGTATTTTGATTTTCATCTGTCATATTATGGACCACTCAAAAGAATTTTTCTTTTTGAATTTCATGACATTAGGAATGAAATCCAGCTATTTACATTGTTTCATGGTTATCTTCGTTGTAATGTAATTATTTACAGTTGTATTTCTTCCTAATTTTAAACTTATTTTTGCAACTTGCTGTATCGTGAAGATCTAATAGGCTGTAGCGGTTTCATGTTGAAATATATCGGAAAATCTAGCACTTGATAGAATAAGCTATTACTTCTCGCTAAAGTAAAGCGATTTCAGTGCTTGCACTGAAATCTTATTTTTCACTTTTATATAATAAGTAAAGGAAATATTAGTCGCCATTAAAATCCGCCTGGGTATGTATAGCATAATAAACTTGCATATGTCAATCGCATTCTGAAAATTAATCGTATTCAAGAATAATTCAAAACCTAGCCTAATAATTTCATGAAATGCTTAAAAATAAATTCATTTTCCATGCATAAATTTCCTTATTATGTATATCAAATAGGAAAAATTAACAGCTAACTTGCAAAATAAAAAAGAATAGCATTAAGGAAAGGAACTTTTTAAAACAATGGGAAAAATATTAGTGAAGAGAGTGAAAAATATTAGCGAAGAGAGAAGAGAATGAAAAATACGAGCTAAATACCATCCTGATCGTCCTAAATGGCAGTTCTGACCAATTTTCAAATACCATCTCGGCTATTAGGTGTATATAGCGAAATTACAAAGCGCATGTCATTTAGTAGTGAAATCAGCTGGATATCCCATACCTTGTATTAAATCATCACTTCCGATGTCTGTCGATTTTGAAATTCCGGATTAATGGTGTTTAATGTGTTTGAAAAACACCATTATTAACTGGATAGGATATTGTCAACGTTAAAAATAAAAAAATACTTCTATGATACTGTAATTTCGATAACCATAGAATCAAATGTACCTTCACCACATCAATTCACCATTTAAAAATATTCCAGAAAAGCTTTCGAGTTCAGAAATCAACTGTTTGTCAAAATTTAACTGGTAGATTAAATAAAACAATTGTTTTATTCCCTATCTTTTCATAATCCCTCATAAAGATTACCATGAATTTTTTGTTGATCTCGCTTTTATTTTGATGTGCATCGTGAGACTTAACGAACTTTCTGCCTCTACGTTGTCTGACAGATCGATTGCTGAATTTTGCTAATGTTCACATACTTCCTATGAAGAATACAGTGTGAATTCCTAAGAACTAATATGTAATCCTAGTTATACAGAAATGCAAAAAATGAAAACATAGTTCAAGATGATGGTTTCAGAATGAATACTGGAATACGGAGCAAATATTTCATGTATTCATTTGTCAGCTGAGAAAATAATTTAAATTCTAACATTTTATTCGAAAATGATTTCTGAATAAATAGGAAAACAAAACCGAAAAAAAGCCATGGGTTGGAAAATTTTGTCGCAGGAAAGATTTTTACTAAGTGTTGATCTCCAAGAATGTAGCATAGCGAATTAGCGTATTAATATCAACAGAGCTTTTGATCATTCCACATGTTACTTTATCAAATGCTGCAGGGATCGGTCCAAATGGCGAATCATCCAGTTTTTTAATTTTACGCACTAATTGAGGTGTCATTTTTGGTATCACATAATCATCCTCCAACTGCCAACCTATTCGATTCAGAATCTGCAACTTTAATTAGCGTGAAATGGAGCTGAACCACAGAACATGAAATAATTGCTACAGTTTTAAAACCAATGTATAAATGAGAAGTTATTTTGGGTGTGTTTATAAGATGACTGACGAAAAGCACTGAAACCATTCGAACTCTTTATTCATTCCGTGTTGCTAATGACTTAGCATATGACACTATTCACTTCATTATTCCATTTACCTAACTTCATATGTTCGATGACTTGAACCATTTGGTCTTTTGGAAACTTTCGTTATTATTTGTGAAAGGTTTTTCTATCAAAGACTTCGCAGATAACATCTTAAAGATTTTGAACAGCTTAAATCAATACACATATCTCCTATATCAACAACCTTCTGTAACTCGTTATTCAACTCAGCATCAAGCATTTCAGCTAGTTTCTTTGCTTCAATATTAATATACATATGTTCAACCAATCGCAACACTGATGAAATTATACGTTTGCGTATTTCCATTACCAAATCTCTGAAAAAAAAATGTGAAAATTTTATTAGATGATAGACAAAATTTAGCAGAAACAAGAACGAACCAATTAACGCAGATAAAATTTATAAAACAACGAAGAAATCATATGTCATACTTCCCTGCATTTTCATACATCTAAAAATGAGACAGCAAACCGTCTTAAAGTGTAGCTTCAATAGCTCTTCCTCTTTTAATAGAAGTTTGTTAAGGATTTCTGAACATATAAAACTCTGCTAAGCTGAAGCCAGCAGTACTGAAAATGTGACCAAGTCAATAAAACATACTTAATCGGATTATCAAAATGTGAATTCTTGATCAAACGAAGAGCAGCTCCAGTATTGCCGTCCTCTAGATGATGACAAATAAGCATGAGTGTATTCAGATGAATATTTGTTACCGATGCTTCAGCGCGGAGACGGCACTGGCGCGCCTAAAAATAAAGGATCGGAAGCAGTGAAGGAAAATGAGAATATTGCAAAAATGAATATGTTAGCAAGCGCTCTATTACACTAATTCATGCTCTTATCTGTTTTCAAGAATTTGATACCATTAATTCTTGGTGTTACGGACTTCAAAAAAACTAGGTTAGAAAAGAGAGACAAACTTTTGCCCAATCTTCCTTAATTATGTAAAAGATCAATAAATGTGAGAAAAAGTCGCCATCAACATCGCGTTCATTGGGCTGAATTTCACGCTGCTCGAATGATCGTAACTTTGAAGTAAAAGGTGAAGATGCCTAAACAATACAACCAGAGTTGCTTGCTAAGATGAACAGTATCAAGGAAAACAACGGAAAAAAAGAACGCATAATAGAAAATAATTATTCTTATACGTTTCCATCGCTTTTCAACTTCATTAAAAAAAAATTAATATACTGATGAGACCTATAGGATCAACTGCTGGAGTATCAACCACTCCACAAATAGGAAAAAAGAAAACCAAGATGGCGAACTCAAATCACGTGAAATGATTAGTACAGAGATCCATGACATGAAGCAGATGGACGGTTGAGCTTCCTCAGGAATATTTCTTGTAATAGATTTTTTTACAGTAACATTTAACTTACCTTTACCAAAAAGAAATTGAAGAGCTAAAGGAAATAAACATAGTAGTAGCTACAAACACTGAATTTTTTTTTAAAATATATTTCATTTCAAATCATTCTGCAAAGTATAACTAGTCAAGGACTATCATCAAGAAATTAATTAACAATACTAACAACGAATGGAGCATTACTGAAACCAGCGGAATGATGCATTGAAAATGACGGTATGGGAAGGCTATCTTCAGCATCCATCTGCAAACTTTCGTCTGAAATGCAAAATAAAACCGTTGCGAAATTAGATTTTGGCCAGTATCCTTTTATATTAAATTATGGAATATGAAAATACGCAAACTAGTTGAAAGTTGCAAGTTATATGCCCTGCTGGTTTATAACACATCACTGAAAACAACCCAAGTTTACCGTTTCCTGGAACAACAGCAGAAACGACACACTCACTAACTGATCCACCACTTAGATCTTCTGAGACCTCAGGAACCTCAGACATTCACTGAAACAAGAAAATTCGAGTTTGTAATTTAAAGGAATTAAGATTTAAAACCAAATCCTGAACGCCAATGAAGATAGGTAGGAGAAACGTATCCAAACACGCTACAGGGAAATACATACCCTTGACACGACAAATTTCAAAAGAGGTGAAAGATATTATAACAATAATTACGCACGTCTCGTCTGTCAAGTTCAGTTGATGTGACACATCACGACCGTCTTTAATCATGCTCACGTCAAGTCACTTCAAACTCTTCTAAAAGTGCAACAATAAAAATGTAGACAATGAAAAATTTGCATGTACGCAAAAAGAGCAATGACATATACAGTAGTGACATAAGAAGGGATGAAATTTAAATCCCGAACTTTGAAACAATGAAACAATGCAATAAAACAATGCAACTTCCAATTCTTCTCAGGACCGGAAATCATCGAAATACATCTTTGATGATTAAGACTAGATCAAAAGGTAAGTTGCAGGAAAACGTGCACAAACTTGATAAAAAATTTATTTCATTAACGTAAGGATTCACCGTTAACATTTGGAATATGAAGATTCAGTTTCCTTTCCTTTCCTTCTTATCGCGACTCACCACTACCTACTTTTTGTACTCCGCTTATCCTCATACCTTTAGAATGAGAAAACGAGTTAGTAATGAAATGAAGGAAACCAGCCTAAGATGCACCACTAAATTACTGATTTTTTAGTTTTTAGTAAAACCCATCGGTCTGATAAAGGCAAATAAAGCTTGGTACGAAATGCTAGTCAAAAATAAAAATAAAATCAAATGACTTAAATAAAGACATATTTCCTGTTTGCAGTCCTCCCACTCACATTATTGTGGCATAAACAGCCTCAATGGAAACAAAAAAAAGCACAAACCGACAGATTAATTTGATACTTAATAGAATTTATTTTTAGAAGCTAGGTTTAACAGGAAAACGCTCACTAGTTTGGACCAACCAATACCCATCTCTATGAAGTGAAAAATAATAGTGATATCAAAGAACTAAAAACACAAGAAATGACATGTGAATTAGTTTATTAATATTATCAAATACCAAAAGAATGTGACTTATTCGACCAAATTCGGATTTTTACTTTTCATGTTTCACTCACAGGATGAAATGATCATCGAGAGTGCAATAAGATGAGAATTTTTATAAGTAATGCAAACTATTCACTTGCGCAAAAATATGGACCAAATTTTGCCAACAAAAAATTTGGACACCTTCGCACAAACTGTTTTGAATATGCGAAAATGAAAAACAAAGAAAAAAAGAAAGGTTTATCAGTTAAAATTCATGAATGTCAATATTGATGAAGCAAGACAATTTATTTAACACAGAAAGTCAAAAAAAATGATTTAAATAACATTGCAAGCAATGTGCATGCTTTATTACATACAGTGAAATGGAACTCTGAAGTAATATGAGGACAGAGGTTGGTAAAATCGTATAGGCAAAGATTAAATAAACACACGAAAAGCAAAGAATGGAACACATCAACTTTGGAACCAAAGCACCACCACCGCTCACTTGTATAATAAAATAAATTCAAAGCACTTCATAAAAAGGAGAGAATTAGGTTGGGATTTTGGCAGAAAAAGGTGAAATAAACTATAGATCTGAACCTAAATACAATACAATTATATTAAATAACATCAATTCTATTGGAAAAAATTGTATAATTTCGATTCACGAAATACAAACAGAAATTTATCCAGATGCAAATTTCCATTCCTGCCTACATAAAGGACATTGTGGTCGAGCTGCATTTTGAGTTTCAGTCCATTTCACAATGCAGTGCATATGAAACGCATGCTTACATGTCCCTAGCGCCTGAAAAATAGTATACATAGTGGAACCACACATCATGGTTAAGCAGAGTGGTGGTGAAAGATATTAAAAAGATTTCACAAAATCCATAATCTCTGCTCCCATGGAAAGATGACAGACCTATTTTGCTCAAAGATCTAGTGAAAGTTTGGGATCAAGAGCTACGTATGAAAAATAAAAATGCTATACAAACTTTAGTTGCAAAGAGAAAAAGCTAAATAAACATACTAAAGGACATTCATCACCAGGTGTTTTACATTCAATGCAGCATGCCTCAAATGGCATTCGACAAATTCCACAGGTTTCATCACCGGCCATCCATTTCCACGATGCAGCAACCTAAAAAACTGATGTAATGTTGGGGTCCATAAGATGCCCACTTCCACTCCGTTTTAAAACACATACAAATTATGCATTTGTAGAATTGTTGATCAATCTCATTTGCATACTTTTCAATGAGACACACTCCGATTTCATCTAATACGCAACTAGAGGGCGGATTTCGATAAATAATTGAACGGATTTCATTTGAGGATGATGTTGAGCCAATTTTGATGCGTAAGTCTCAGTAGAATCAACCTCAAGAAATCAAATAACACATAAACCGAATGTGAACTTATTTAAGGTCTCATAATCTGAAGCACTACTACCTCAGTTAGGAAAAATAAAAAGGTTGTCTGATATTTAGTAATGTCTAAGTTCAGATATCTTTCAACGATCCCGAATAGTGATAAGAGACAAACAGTTACACAAACATACATTCCACTTGAGCACTGTGATTTTCAAACGAGTTGATGTGGGTAGTTTCAACGGCTGTGGGCGAAACCTCACGGATGAAGATGGATCATGACGAGTACGGTTATAGAAAATGCCACTATTCCCCTCAGCAGAATTCGATTCCTGCAACTACAATCACATAACATTCAACCGGGAACTACTGCCGATCGACAATGGACCATAACTGCAGAACGAGTGATTCAGAATTGTAGATCTTAAAATCACAATTTATCAAATGAGAGGCTTAAATGTAACCAAAACAAGCCTCAAAACTGAAGAGATATAGTACAAAGGTCGATGCATAGAAAACTCCTGATCTGACAAAAATGAGTAAAGATTGAAATAAATAATGGTGGATCGAATCACATCAGTCAAAAAAAAGAAAAACCGACATAACTATTATTTTGACCGCGTCGCATCAGATGTGGCACACGACAGTTTCTGCTTCGCGGTGTTTCATACATATTGTTCGCAAAACCTTCACTCTCTGAAGTATAACAAGTGAAATTCTAACCGTTAGAAAGCAAAAAGGAGTTCAAAGTGATATGTCCAAACTTTGCAATAATGAACACTAGACCTTTCAATCATTTAATTGCTTTCATATCTTACTAATAAAGCAATCCCATGTCAAATATGCCGTGTAATGAACTTAACTTTTTCCTCCTCAGCCAACTAAAAATCCGTTTAGGTTTTACAACTTTCACAGTGGTTAAAGCGGCGAAATATGTTTCTGCGGAAGATAGTGGTCTGATATTTTTCTGGGCAACTTTGTTCGTAATTCTTTCAGCACAGAAGCATATCAAAAACTGATAAGATAACACATATCTATTTCTTAGTTCATAAGAAGTTAAAGTGAAAAACAACCGCTTACTACAGACAAACTATCACGACTGACATAGTAGAAGCAAATACCGAAAATAAAAATTTCTGGAAAACTGACGCGCACTTTCCCTTCGCTCGTTATTGCTAGCTGGATCACTCGATGACGGAGAGTACAAATCTCGGATCAGTGCTAACTCCTAAAATATTTAAAATAGCTTCGACCTTTTTTTCGCTATCACGTAAATTGGAAAATATTTGTCAATTGATAAGCACTAACAACATCATTGAATTCGTTCACTTGAGTTGATGAGCCGCTAGTGATGTCATTATTGTTCTCTGACTCATTTACGCGATTAATGCCATCACCATTACGGTCGCCGTTTTCATCGTTTATTGATGATATTATGCCAAATGATAAAGAATTAGTGGTATTCGTCAATAACGATAACGATTCGTTACTAGCTACATCGGCATTCGAACCTCCTGTACCACTGCTTTCATCCATCGGTTCTTGTGCTTAAAACATTACTCTTATTGAAGCCTTGAAATAAAGAAGTGTCACTATATTTGTATACCTTACAAAAAAAGTAAGTGCGAAGCCTGTTCTTTTCGTCTAACTTTATAAATAAGTTAAACGAAAAAAAATAAACTTCACACTCATCAAGTTTGTAACCAAGTAAGCGAGAAACAGGGAGAATTTCAGAAAATCTTGCAGAATGGATGTTAAAATAATTAATATGATTAACATTAAAATGATAAAATGATTAATATTGACCATGGCGATGATTTAGCAATGCCAAATATTCCATGTAAGATTCCATATGCGTAGATGAATCACCCTGACTATAACCGAAAACATCTCTTGAATGCTCTCTTACCTGAAGAATAAATTCGCGAACAAAACGACTATAATTCATAAAGATTTCGCTGCTCTCAATGATCTTTAGGAACAATAATATTCTAGATATCTCACTTTCAACATCACTTGTTAATTGCAAACACTCAGTAAGAAAGGTATCAGTCTTCTAATAAAACAAACGCCTATACATATAACTGCCATTAGAGGCTGGTCTGTATTTTGTAACTTACTGCACTGCTGTCTGTGTCGAAATTACTGCTGCTTATCTCGAAATTACGAAGTGCTGCCGTCAATGACGGAGAGCTTGAAGACGAAGAAAGCGTGTTCTGATCACCCCCTTCAGAAAGTTGTGAACTTGAATTTGATGTCGTATCTAGAATATATGCTACTGGAGACCTGCAAAGTACCAAAATTTTTTTGGGCAATTCTAATTTGAAACAAATAAATAAGAGATATTCATGTAACTAAATATTTTATGTAGTTTACAACAGATGGCGTTAAAAGGCATGAACTAGGTACAATCATGTCCGGAACTAATAACTGCCGGACGCTAAATTACTATCCTATAGGAAGCTACGGCCTTTAGTGCAAACACTGAGGCGATAGCCGGGTGTTTTACAATGGCAGCAAAAACAATAAAACAGCTCCATATAAAAGCATAAAAAATTTGGAGTCTATGTAATGTATGAAAAACATACAAGTTTCTACGGCTTCTTTCATAAGACATGATTAACTAGAATTAAGGAAGGTTTAGATATGGTCACATCCCACAATATGGAAGCCACCACCACCTGAAAGATAAATTATATATTTCAACATATAAAATAGTAGCACGAATACGAAATGCAGCCCTTCACAATCTAGATACTTTATAATAATTCCGAATTAGAAAGTACCAGTTAATCTCGCCATTTTTATCTCTCGTTTACATTCTAATTCAATCCAGGCGTTAGTACTATTTCAGCAGAGTAAACTCTGTTACGCTAAACGGTACGACGATTCTAAAAAACCATTATTTAAAGATTTAAAATATCGCACCTAACGGTAAAAGTATTATCTGCACTTCAATATTTTTCCAGACTGCTTTCCTAAGTGTTTCTTGCCAGTAGGTATTACAGAGTTATGCAATACCTCAGTGTACGGCGATATTTTGTGACTAATATATCCCACGATACATTATTAGTTTCAGCGTTGTTCAAGAAATATTTTTACTAATATTTTCGCAAAATCCCACCAGATACGCTACCATACAATGCGGATTCCCACGACTGACAATCTGATCGACTTTTCGTAAATTTCAAGCAAACTACGGGACTATATCCAATTTATATGCTGAATTCAAGCACTTCCAGTAAAGAAAATTAAAACAACGAATGAATTAAACAAATAATTTGATGATTGCATCGACAGCCCTTTCCAGAAGAATCATGCTTTATCGCAGAACACACTTTACTGAGTGATTAGGAAACAATCCTACTGAACAACAACGGCGATTCGGAAAATTATCTCAACATAACAATCTCGCTTTAATACAAAATGAAACGTATAACAAACATCGTATTGCGATGTCCTGCTGTAACAAAAACTCTAGGAAATGTAGATTCTACTTTCTAATGCGACCTTCCATAGTACGATGAATTCTTGGCTGCTACAAAAAATGAAATTTGATTAGGTGCTTTACAATATCACTTCGTTACTAGATGTCACAGATTCCAAAAAACATCACTTTCCTTCATTACCTTCGCGAAGAAATATGGAAGACTTTCTGGTTCAAATTCACCAATAAAAATTGTCAGAAAAATCTATTCACATCGGTTTATTACTGGACATAATTCTTAAATACATACTTTGGCAAATATAACAAAGTTATTTACCTACTATAAAACAACCGATTATACCAACGATTTAGGAAACTCAAAAGAAAACTGACCAAAGACCACTACCTTCCCACATTCTTTCACTCTACAAAGTGCCTACAGCATGAACAACTAGTGAATAATAATAATAATGTGATACATTAGAAACATGATAGAAATGTTGCAAGTTCAACTTTTTCGGTCGAGAATTGAAACTCCTGATGGTAAAATATTGGCAAATTATAAGGAACCAAGGGGCTATATATACAAGCAAACATACATTAGCAATATTCTAAAATTAAAATAAAATATAAATTAATGCACGACTTGATGAAGTATAAAATAATAGCAATAAAAATGAAAAACATCTTGCTGTTAATAAAGCCTTGAATAATATTGATATTATTAGAAGTAAAAACTAGAAGTAAAAATCATTTAAAAGCAGCAGAATAAAGTAGATTCAAACCCTTGACATTTTGGTTTCATTTATTTTTGTAGATTATTGCTCCTGAGTAGAAATCTAGTCAGTTGAGAAGGAGGTAAGTAGCTTAGTCTAGAACAACCATACAGGACCATTGTTTATATACAACTGTTTTACTTTTATCTTTACAATATAAACCGAGATGTTTCTTCTCAGGAGCAATAATCTACAAAAATAAATGAAACCAAAATGTCAAGGATTTGCATTGAGATAATTTATAAATAACGAAGCAAATTTAGATGTATCATTCGATGGATGCATTTTCATGTAACTGGTGAATTGTCGTCGCAGCCCTGAGAGTTCAGCAAAGGAACGCTGTCTTGTAAACAGCACCTTAACACTCAACTTTACATAACGTAAAACACTGATATATTAAAATATTTTATAAATTAATAGGAGTCAATGATCTCAACCACTTTCTGATAGATATAATGAGGGGATAACACCTATATTGCAAGTCCTTATAATCATATTTCCTCTATAAATTAGAGTAAAATTCGGCAAAAAATTCTTTCGAATCAAACGTTTTGGTAATATTAGCTGAAATTTTTTCATTATCTAAGTTTTAATCTATAAACAAAGTTCTTCACTCTGTTTTGCATCTGCATAGCTGTTACCGAATAAATAATAAAGAGGACACGTCGGATTTCAGAAATTCAGATATATTAAATCCAATATTACAAAATAAAATTTACACAACCTTTCCGTGGCCCAAAGTACAGTTTGGTACAATAAAAGTGTCGCCTGGCAAGGCAGTCCGCTGTTGCCGTACAACACTAGTTATAACTTCCTTAGTTATGTGATCAAGAGCATGTAGAAAATCTGCCGGCATAAGCGACTCAGTTTCAGTACTTTCATTAGCAGACAAGCTCCTACCCTGTAATGATGCACATTTTTGAATACAAAATACGTAAACCTAAAGTTTAACATATAAAGTTAGAAAGTGAACACGCCTGGAAAGTCCGCAGTTAACATGTCTCACCTCGAATAACCAAAGGTACATATCTTCCAGAGGTAATTTCTTTTCATTTAATCCAAGAAAACAAAAGCATTGTTCGAAACCCAAATTATGTCTTCGACGATTCCCACCATCAATCCCAATTTGAACCTTAAAAAGCGGAGAATCCCATCTATTTGCTGTAGTAGGCTCTTCAAAACGCATCATCAATGCTGTTATATCATCCGCTTTATATCTATAACAGATTTACTAACAAAATTCATCAAAAGCCTCCTATGAGGAAGAAATGTTACAACGACAAAAGCGACATACATCTGGAATATAGAAAATTTTCAGCTTTACCTTGTTCGCTTTTTATTTCTAAAAAAAAATAGTAGAACTTCCCTGCGCGGAGGACTTTTAAAACATGTGCTGTTGAGGAAGGAAAAAGAACCCTTCCAAAAATTTCTAACACACCCTCTCTAAGTCTCACTACGGAATCCATTTTAAATTCGAAATAAAATAATCTTCAATATATTATAATTCACAGATCAGTTTCCCGACAATATTTAATACCTAATTTTTTATTTTTTTTTTCGATTTGGACGTCACATATCCCATCCATTTATCAGATTTCTTTCATACTAACTAATTCAATTAATGAGAAAGAAGCAAAGCTACCTTTCAATCTCTTTTTTTTCAAGGTTAAGCTGCAGGCAAATATCCTCACTGGCATCGCAGTACAGAACACAATATGTTGTTTGCATCAATTTTGCTATACAAAATAACTCATATCTGAAACCTGTAAACTGCTAAAACATATGTATGCAAGACAGAATAAATGGTACAACGAGTTACGCTGAAATGAAGTTTACCTTTGATGTAATTTAACGAATCGCAAATAACCAAGCAATCTTCTGAAAGTACGCGCTGTACCTCTGATTTTAATAAAACACGATGCTCTTGTTCCTAGAATAAGGCAAGTAGACACTTCAAAATCCATAACATACAGCTAATCATAACAACGTATGTTAATAGCAATAATGATCTCATATTACTTTTGCTACTTCGTAACGATCGATATCAGAGATTAAAGCATTAAACGACCGAATCAATACTATGTTTTACGTGACAAAAAATTAGTGAGAATCAAGTCAACGACAAAAGAACAGAACATTAAATAGAACCTTGCGAGAATCTTTGTATATCGACCTTGTAAATGAGGCATTTCTATCATCGGACACCACTTCAATTTGCTGACACTTTCTTGTTACAACGAATTTACAGAAGCATTCAGCAAGTGTACTCTTTCCAGAACATGGTTTCCCACACACAACAACCAACGGCATTTGCTCTTTTCTAAAATTAATGTTTTGCTAGAGAACGTCATGAAAAGATCACCAAATGACAGATCTATATGAATATACCCAAAGGAAGATGAAGTCCGAATCCTCCCCTATTTCTTACGACTTTTCTGACACCCCAGCGACCACCAGAGGGAATTTTCACTGTGAAACTAAACGTCCCTTTATATATACTTACACATTTGAGGGTGTCAGGGGTTGCCAGTAGTAAATTTTGCTTGTTGGTCCTGCATCGGTAGTAAGCATGCCTGCAGTAGTGTCGACAGTATTTGGTGATGAAGAATGATTCCAACTACTTGAAGTTATCTGTTAGCTTGTACTATTGTCAGGTTCACTTTTTCATGAGCGTTTTGGAGATAGTTATTACCGGCTGACCTTCTGTTGGAATGTAAACTGTTGTGCTCACTGGATGAGAAAACGCCTTGAATGGTATGGTTGTTAATCTAGATATGACGATGGGAATTTTATTTCCCGTATTTTCTATCTGTTCACCAATATCTAGTATGAGTTTCATTTCAGGTAGTTGTCCCCATCTCCGATATTCTTTATGCTTCGCATCCTACAGGTACAAAATTTTATATCATTGTGATCTCTTGCAGTAAATAACTTCTTATAACGTAGGCATTACATTCGTATCATTTCTGTCGAACAGCTAATTACAAAAAACTCAATGTTTTTGCGTAGCTTTCCGTGAAATGCGATTTGTTTATAGTCTCCTACCTAGCCTCTTCCTTTTCCTATAATGCCATTCTTTTTAAAGTTCGTATTCTTCAATATTTCCGAAGTTCAGACTTCTTGATGGATTTTTCACTCCTGCTTCATGGTCTTTTAATTTTTAAATGAGGCTCGTTTAACAAGTAGATTGATAAATAACAGCTGTTTTAACTTCATCTTGCATTTTCTTTTCACCTTTTACTTATGTTAGTCCGTAATATATCCACATCGACTCGCCAATTTAGTTTCATTTCATCAGGCTGTCTAGTTGTCCAAATTTCAAACTAAAATTTGGGAATCTATCCTCATGTCCCATTGCCCTCTTTTGTTTCATTTGTTACTATGGCGATTGAACTCTTTTTTTTTAAACACATATTTCCTAAACTGTTATCCACCTCAAAATTTTCATCGACTTGTACTTTCCAAATGCACTTGAAGAACCAAATAGCTGCGAGTTTTATGAACATAAATTTTAGTCATATTTATTTTTTTAATTCATACCATCAGTTCACTATTATTTTCAGGGATCTTTGGCATTTAGATCTCATAAGGCCTTATGGCTTTCGCATCCAATCTCTAGTTCATCTTATAGGACTTTACAATGCTTTTGTCAGATTTCTCATAGAATCGGCACTTCGGGACCCAATTTTTTACGCATTTATGAAGATGGAATCACTAAGCAAATTTTGTCCCGAAATAAAGGATCTTCACAGTAAGTTTGATTTCTTTCTTATACAAGAAAAAGGATTAAAAAGGGGGCATAATAAATTAAATGAACAGAGGTAATGACAGATCAGTTATGTTGGAATACATGGCTACTTTGTCAAAAATTGTAATTATTCTGCCAACTATTTTCTTATTCAAAACGGTATGCACTTACTTTTTCTATTTTCAGCGGTACTGGTCGGAAATCGCCTGGAAGTAGTTTCCTCATATTGTTGTTGATGGTAGCTGCTGGTGGAGGTGCTGCATACTACTGGTGGTATAATTAATTATTCGTTTCATCAGGATTTAATTTACTCTTGTGCAGCTAGTCTGCAAAATGGAGCTTATGCTATTTTATAAACGTACTGAAAAAGCATTCGTGAGGTACGACGATTAAGCCTTCACTTGATGCCGGCAGAAAGCACAGCTTAATCGTTTTCCATATCTCATCATGAAACGGTTATCAATTCTGTTGAGTTTTATCTTTTCCTAATCTAATGTTAATTTTATCTGCTTTCTTTATAACTGGATTTATTAGATTTGGAATCAGAAACCCTTTTTTTCTATTTTAAGGTATTTCGAAAACGAAGACAAAAAAAGTGGACATAAAGCGGATTTTTTCCTAAAAACAGTTACGTCACCAGCATCGACATCTAAGGTTCCTGAGCAAGCAGAAAGCCAGGGAAAAGAACCTGTATTCCGAGGAACGCAGCATGAATGTTTGTATTTATGGAATATATACTTAAAAGAAAAAAATCCATCAAAATTCCTTTATCGATTGATTGTTTATCTGTAAACCTCTAGTATCATGAGTATCAAATTCATTTGATTCTATTTCACACTTTTTGTGCACACCAGACCTTAGTGGCTCCTCATACAGTCATGTACTGTTTCATCCACTTTGACATATTATAAGCTCATGAGAACGCTGTCATTGTTATGATTTTCAGCCATGGAAAAGATGTTGAAGATATGTTTGCAATCTGCTATTGAAAAAGTGCATTCAGCAACGGAAGCAAAATACAGAACAATTGATGTTATAAATGAGCATACTCGTGTGATGAAACAAACGATTGATGAGGGCGAAGTTAGTTATGATTTTGATTTCCAGGTTTTCTGCTTTATAGGGAATAACATTTTATTGGTTACTGGTATTTTTTAGAAAGGAGATTGGACGCAAGTGACAAGTGCACTCCAAAAAATTGATAAAGCTTCGAATAATGATGCAAAGGAAGAGAATGATGCGAGAAATTATTTGGATAATGTCAGGAAGGTTGGTCGTGGCAGCTTGTAATGGATTTTTATTTTTCTGGAAGCTTTGTCTGGATTTTCTTAAGCTGTTTTGCTTTGTTCTGGATGATAATATGGAGGTTTTACAGGTAATCGAACTGGGAGAAGCGACAGAACCCACTCGCAATAACCCCTTGCTACAAAATGCTCGTGAAACTGTCCATAAACTTGATCGCCAGCTTGAGGAAATGAATTTGATGATCAAAAAAACTCGTGATGGAGGACGTATTTTTAGTGAATACAAAGATTTGATTGATAAAAGCCGGAAGCAGTTTGCATCGGAGTTGAAATCAGTCCTTCCTAATGTTGATATCCATGCGCAAGGTTAATTTTTGGGAATTCGAGAAATTTTTTGTGATTGTTGAAAATGGTGAAAAAAACGAGTTCATAACTTTCAAGATTTACCCACATTAATCATAATGATGAATTAAAACATTTGGGCCATTTCTGTGCCACAGAATATTTAGAACCGAATGAGCTTCAGCATTTATACGATTTTCAATTCAGTTGCAGATTCTAAGTTAAACGAAGACGAATTGAACGCATTAATTGCACATGCACATTTGAAAGTGGATCAGTTAAGGAAACAACTTGCCGAACAGCAAGTTTGCTTTTTTCTGATTTGTATGCATTCGGACGGTACGTTTCTCCGATATCCTATAGATGTCGTTTAGGTCGAAATTCTGATTTAAAGCTTTTCACTAATGAGGTTTGCTTTCAGTTTTTGACTCTCTTAGTAAAATCCAGACTCCATATATTGTTATGTTTATCTCACATTAATCGCATCCCATAGTAAATCAAGATACCGCTATTTCTGAATTACAGTTAGGATTTTAGCGCGGAAAATTTGATTTTTTTCGAAAATGTAACCGGAAATAAGGATTTTATTTTTTTAGGTTCGTGAAGAACAAAATATTGCATGCGCTTTAGAAGAACAAAAAAAATCTCAAAATAAGTTAACCGAGGAGGAAATAAATCTAAAGGTGGAAGCGCTTCGTGAAGAAATAAAATCGGAAGCCGACAAAATGGTGCGAATTCAAATTGTTAATTCATGATATAATTTATAGTTTTGTATTATCGTCTGTGAAACATACAAATTTCAGCTCTCCACGCAGAGAGAACTTTGGGAAGCTGAACTGGAAGAAAAGCTACAAAGAGCAGCTGCTGCTCATTCGGAACATATTGAAGAAATTGTGCGTGTGCAAAGAAGTCTTTTTGAAATTGAAGAGAAACAGAAGGTTGGCGTTTAAAAGCGCTCCATTATTTTAAAAACTCGTGGGAAGAAAAATGACTTTCAAGTGTTGGGATGATCGTCGATGATCGCAATACCTCTTTTTCATTATCATTTCTTATTCAGTTTTACAGAAACTGCATCTTGATCTTTAGATTGAAGAGGCGATTATCGAAGAGCGTTCTCAACTTAGCAGAGAGTTAGCAGCTGCACAAGGTAAACTAGATGGAATCGAAACTGCTTTGAAGTCACGAACTTCACAGGTGCTTTTCCTCTGAAATTATGAGAAATCGATCCTTTAGAAAGACCTTAGAGCTCTTTATGTAATGAATGAAGCACATTTCCATATTAACTTTGTCTTTAATTTGTTGATCTTGTTTAATTACGCAACTGTTCCCTAATCACTCAATACTCGCTAGTTAAATTATTAGTGTTTGTGGTTTTACTTCGCTAACTAGTAATCAGGATTGACCATTTTCTGATTTACCTCGAAGTTCTAAGACCATTTAACATTGTATTTTGAATCTAACCGTTATCAGTCAGACCTTCTCTGTGATTCAATACGTATCCAAAACAAGATGAATTATCGATCTTATGTACAAAATAATTACAAAAAAGGCAGTTACTTATTTTTCTCATTTAAAAATTTTTTAAAGGATGCCGAAAATCGCCGCGCTAAGCAAATATGGATAGCATCTCATAATTTGATTGATTCTGTCATACATGGACGGAGAAGTGGTACTGATGATGATGCACGCCGTAAACCGCTGGCAACTGAGGTAATCGAATCATTATTTTTTACTTTTTTAGTATGACTCAGTTACAGTTATTTTTGCAAAAGTCTTTCACGGAAAAATATTTTATAGCTTCAAATGATTCGGGAAGCTGACTGTAATGATGAATTTGTGGCGTGTCTGGTTAATGCACTTCCAGATGAAGCAATATATAATGGTGTATATACTGAAGAAGATTTAAAGACAAGATTCAATAAGGTTGTTCATTTAACATTTTTGCAGTTACTTCATATTTTTTCACATCTATGCATTTTTGTATCAGTTTTTATACTCAGCCTTTCAGCTATACAAGATTTGTCGGCAAGTGGCCAAAATGGATGGAAGCAATGTTGGGGTATTTCAATATGGTTTATCGTACTTGCAGAGTGCGATGTCCCTCGATCCTCCTAGGAAATTCCCAAAAATGGTAACGACGTTGTTTTTCGAAATCTGCCCTTAAGACTTTTACTTAGTGGGATTGGTTGCGTACTGAGGTACGCAGTTAAGAACTGAGTAAAAGTTCCAGTCTCTTTTTTCTATTACTCAAGAAGAGATGAAATTGATTATGTTACTGCATTTTCAATTATGCAGAAGATAAAAATCAGTTGATTGTCAAGATTAAATTCAGAGCCCTAAGTCGGTGTATATTTCAGGGAAAATTTGACCCAATGATAATGGATTCATATGAAATACTATCAAGAGCAAGAAATTTTGTTGCAGAGGAGGATTTGAATTCGGCGGTACGGATTTTACAACTTTTGACCGGTCCAGCAAGATTTGTAGCGCATGATTGGATAAATGATGTGCGAGCACATCTTGAAGCACGTTTCATTGCTGAATTACTTGTTGCACATGCCGCTGTCAATAATTATTCATCTATATATTGATTAAATATGTTAACAGAAAAGTAATTCATTGCTGTGGCGTTTAGTTCGGAATAACTTCTTATTTAACGGCTTCATTCTTTATGTATAGAATGCCATATGAAATCACAGTTTCTAATGAAACGGATTAATATTTTTTCGACCAAAAAAGCAATGATAGTAACTGATAGTAGCTGGAAAAATATACGTCGCTGAGATCGGATTCAAAATCATACTGGTATAATTGATAGCATAGAAGTAATACTAGAATAGAGAAAAATATTGTTTTTTATTGTTTTTTTCAAATGGCAGATATCATCGGTGTGTTTTGTATTGTTCGAGACCTGAAACTATAATTATTTTGAGAAAACATTTTTTGTCACAACCTTAACCTTAAATTTTGGTTTAAAGTCCATTCGTGTAAGCTTCAAGAGTACCATTAACTACCGCTTATTTAAATTAGAAACGAAGTTTATGTTTAAGAACTAAATTTACTTTCTAAATCTGTTACTGTATAGTGCAGGTTCGAGCAAAATAAAAAATAGCTGGAATATTCAGTAGTGGAACTGTTTCATAACAAATAGTTTTTTTTAGAACTTTTGCTTGTCCGTTATTTTCGAAGACGAAAACTGATTGGTTTCGTTTTTTTAGTGCAATAAGAAAAGCCTAAGGATCTAGCAATTTGAGGGGAAGATTTTCTCGGCTCCTTTTAAATGTTACTGTTGTTACCTTGAAGGGCCGTATTTGCTTGTAAAACTTTCTTTCCGCATTACAGAATGCAGAGTACGAAAACGGCAACACAGCATTTCACGAATGGGTACACGAAACTCACGATTATGTTTACAATAAATCAATGGATTCATTAGGCTGAAAATTTTTCTTACTCTAGGTTTGAAATTACGAATAGAACAAAAAGAATAACTGGCTTGGCCCGTCCCTTATCTCACAGTTTCAAGTATATTTACGGTTTCTTTTTTTTGTATGGTAATGTTCTAATTCGTGGACGAAAATAATTTCAAACACTTCTTTCCTGTAGCCATGGGTTTTCAGGCGTATATTAGTTTAAGAAACACAATTTCTTTTATTCAGTGGGTTCTTTAATAAGAGTGCTGATGCCAAAACGAAACAGCTGACAAACCTGTTTGAATAACCAAGCCAGAGTGTTAGATGATCCAACCAACTTGGCGGCAAGAATCCCTGGGGTTTGAGAAGTGCCAGTAGAAAGAACGGCAACCAACATATTACAAAAACACTCATCATTATGCCGAGCGTCTTACGTGCTTTTCCTTCATTTTTTTCGTGAAATTTATTGGTGTGCACCTAGAAAAATAGTCGTTGCGTTTGAAAGACTGGAATGACTATGGTATAAACATTTGTAATGGCTTGAGAATGTACTTCTCCTTCATATTGTTGGTCAGTTACTCGTCTAATGTTTGCAATTGAAAATGACAGGCCGGAAAAATATGTGAAACGGGTACTATCTTCTTCAAATCTATTTTTGATGGGTGGAGAATTTGATATTTTTCAGATATAATGTGAAAGAAAATTCAACTTATTTTTATTGCCGAGATTAGGCTTCGTACTCCTGAGTTGAAATTCTCTAATTAAACCAATAATATAAGGTATTTCCAGTGCAATTCTTCAGTTCTATTCAAGGGAAACTAGTTTTCCGATGTCGTTGGCAACTCATTTGTTTTCAGAATTCAGTGAAACATATAAACTATTAGTTGAAGTTTAGTTACTTTAATGGAGTTTTGTTGGGACCAAAATTTAACTGAAGCTGAAAATTTCAAAGCAGCTTAGTTACAAACCTGAAGTTTATTATTTTGATAACTTTCAGGTGTTTTTAATTTTAATCAAAAGTATGAAAAGAGTAGTTGTAACATTAAAAACTGTACCATTGGTATTTTTTGTAAAGTGGCTAAGGGACGATGATATTGATGATATTGTTGACGATTACTTCGATCACTTAGGCTAGCTGGCCAATGTGACTTGACAAAGCTAGTACCATTAACACTTTCATTTGTTCCAACTGTCAACATACGATCACGTTCAGCTAATCGTGTAGCAGCCAACCACATTTTTGCATATAATATTATCATAATACATGTTGGGCCATAAAATGCAATCATCGTGGCATAGATTTGATAAACTGGATTTTGATTAACCTGGAAATTGAAGGAGTACATTTATTGTGTGTACTTTTGGTAGCTGAAGCTTTCTTACTACAAGAAGTGTACAATTAACACCTAAGACTGACTTGTTATTTTTTTTCTGATGTATGCAGTATTTAATACTGTACCCTCAGATATCTGTTAGAACTTTTTGTTTAATGTGTACTTAATTGGTTAACTGCTCACTACTTTAATCGTTCTTTAAGGATGAATTAGCAGCTGTTTTAAGAAATGAGAAGACTATTAATCACTGCCAGCTGCGAGTGACTTGCAAGTTAGGTAGGTGCCCGTAAGGTGGAAGATTTTCTTCCTTCAAATTATAAAACTAATAGACTTTAAAGATGTTGAAATAAAAAATTATATTTACATCTTTAAGCCATACAACGAGAATTTCCTTTACAATATTATTTCTAACAGTGTATTGTCTTCACACTTCTTTTGTAAAATGAATCAAACGCGGAAAACTTAAAAGTAGTCATAAAGCAAAAAGCAAATGCTAGCTTTTAAGAGAAACAATCCCAAAAGACCTTTATCGAAATAGGACTTTTAAACTAAACCAGCTTAACAGAGTCCATGTCCATCTACATGAATGGCTTCCTCTAAGTTTATTTTCCACTTTGCTTTTGGAGTATTTCATCAGTGTAAGGCATCAATTATACTGATTATAGACAAGCAGAATAAAGCTTGTTCGGAAAAACGGATTGATACCACATTATTGCATCGCTTAATTACGACGGTAAGTAAGAAAAAATTTGAAAATTGACGTAAAACCTTCTTAACTTCACTAAATTACTAGAAATACAACCAATAATTAAAATATTTTGAATGAAAGATGCTTTCGCGAACTTATATTATTTTTGTTCGAAGCACTTTTCTCACACGCTTTTCTACCAGCAGATGCTCTCTTCCTTCATTTTTTTCCTGATCTCTTTGCTTTTTCGATATTTATGAAATTCGAGATTCAATCAGTACTTTTGTAAGAGAACTTTGTACAGGGATTTTTCTTTAAAATTTGGCATTTTCTCCTACTTCTATTTTCACTCCTTATTTTTCGATAATTCAAAAAATTGGACAAGGAAAAGGCATTTCAAAAGGTGCTCCACAAAAAAGTTCATGTGTGTCAGTGAGCACTTGCAGCTGTAAGACTTCACAGTCCTTAGACGAAACACTGTGAAGTGAGAAGAAATCATAGTGCATAATTCATGAGAATCAATTCAATGCTTAGTTCAACAGAAAATATCATTTATTTTTTGCGATGTACAAATTAGGAAAGGTAATAGAAAGTAGCACGATGATGATGGTAGCCATTCTTTTTTTTTGGAATAAAACCTGATGCTACAGTTAAATATAAGTCAGTTTCTGTATAACATGATTGATTGTGTAGAGAAGAAAGACTGACTTGACATTTCCCTTCAGTATTTTTTGCTGGCCAAATAACAAGTGGTGATATGCTGACAACAAGTGACAAAATCCATACGATGATAACGTAACAGAATATTCGCTGCCGAGTACGTTGCGCAGCATAACGTAGTGGTTGACTGACAGCGCAATAGCGGTCGACACTTATCATGCATAAATTTACTATGGAAGCTGTACATAAAGTTAAATCTGCTGACGTCCAAAATCTGCACACCTACAATTGATATTATTTGGACCATCTTTAAATCTTTTTGTTCAAGAAACCGAAATTTTTGTGCGAATGTTATCATAAACACTCAATGTATGCAGCTTTTTGTAAAGGCATTCAGGTAAAATCATTTAGATGTAAAGCACTCAACCCGTCCTCAGGAATCTGTATGCTGATAGCCAGATCATTGGTAAAATTTGTCACCAACATATCCACAGGGCATTCATTTTTTAAGCTGAAGTATTCAAACTATGTTTAACTCATTTGGGATTTGAATATTTTGATTTGAATATTTTTTCCATTAAGTAGAAAATCATTATTTACAAACCATTGACCAATTTTTCAACTGAAAATAAAAAGGTCTTACCACTCCACCAAGAATCCAACTATCAGTAAGTAAATCGATCAATGCAATAGGCATTACCAATAAACCAACGCAGAAGTCGGCAACCGCTAATGAAACAAACAAATAATTTGCTGGTTGAATTTTTAGTTTTCGTACTAATAAGACAGCCATAATTACCAATGAATTACCAACCAATGTTGCGATAATCATCACACCAATTAATAGGCAAATAATTACAACTGTTGCTGTTTTATCAAATGAGCTTGATACAGTTATGTCATCCAAACTGTTAAGATTACTGATTACTGTTGCCGCTACTGCCGTTACCGTCGTCATTGTCGTTGTCGCTGCTGTTATTTTTGTTGTAACATCAAACATAGTAGCCGCGGTCATCAATTATAAGATTTCTTCGTTTTCCTTGTAATCATAGCGCATATGCTACGTTAACTAAAAATTTCCGTAATTCTTTAGTAATAATAATAATTAATAATAATAATAATAATAATAATAATAATAATAACAATAATAATAATAATAATGATAATAATAATAATAATAATAATAATAATAATAATAAAAATAATAATAAATATCAAAAATATCGGAAACAAGAAAATAGCAATTAAATTGGAAACAAACTATTGATCAAGTTACAGTACTAACCACTAATAATTTGTGTCGACTAATGAGATATCATTAACGCATCGCTCATCCAGCAGATGTTTTCCATTTCTTTAATTCCATAAAGACGATTTTTTTGTTATAGCCAATTGCATGTTCTGAATGGCATTTAATTCTTAAAAAAGGATAACTTGTTTGCCCCTCATTACTTATGATTTCAGGGAAGTGAACAGAAACATAAATAAAGGATCATTTATATGACATTGAAATGAATATGTATGATGAACAATAGTGAAGTCTATTGAAATGATATTTATTTCGTACATTCCATAATCTCTCAACATCAAATCTATTTAAAATCAATAAACAAGGTTTTTATAATTTGTAGTAGTAATTTTCCCAGTAATTGGATAACGATCTCTGAATGATTAGTTAATTTATAGCGCACCAGGGAGTTATGTCGAAGATTTCGTAAAAATGTAAATAAAAGACATTTCAAACACCTTGAGCAAGCCTTCAAATTTTTTCTTCGGTGACAACAACCTCGGCAAAATGAAATTTTATTTTATTTCAGACTAATGTGGTAAAATTTTTTATAAAAGAAAAATAAGATGATAAATTGTAGGATGCCAAGTATAATTTCTGATTTCAATCCTTACAAAAAAATTATGATTTCCGAAGCATCATAATGTTAATCTAAACTAACAAATTAGTTTCTGCAGATAAATTTTTCAGAAAAATGTTATTTATTATCCTAATGGAAATTACATTGGCTGTTAATGCAATACTTTCAGCGTCAATTAAATTACAACTTACGAGATACGATTAACTTGAAGAAATACACTAGTACTAAGATAATGATAATCAATCTGTATTTGAAAAATATCGGCACTATCATTTGTGATATACTACTACATCTATAGAAATTATCAAAGTAAAAATTTTAGGAATTAATTTTAGGAATTATCAAAGTAAAAACAAATTTTTGGAAATTATTAGATTAAAAACAAAAAGCATCTGTTCAAGCCTTTCAACATGATCACATTATGTAAAAATATTATCTGAACAACAAATGACGAGATGGAAATACTAGAAATTCTGTTTCATCTTTAATTTAGCCTAGTTAAATGAAGTTATGCTTGCCAATGCTTTCAATGATGTGACCTGAGAAATTATTAAATATGAGTGATGCTTAAAGTAAACACATCAAAATCAAAACAAATATTGGATCGATAAGTGAACTAGGGAAAACGCTCCATTATCACAATGCATCAGAAAACTTTGACTCTGTGCTATCTAATTCACCGTTTTCATTAAACGACCTGTGCATATCATGTAACTTGACGTGCCTCATCATCGTCAGCTTGTCGAAAGAGAACTCAACATTTTGGGGTGTATCTCAATATAACATGGAATCGGATTGTGACTTGAAGTGGTGCTGATAAATGTATGCTTTCTTGGGTACCTTTAGAGCATCACGAAAGGTTAAACAGAAAGGGGATAGGATTTTAGCTGATAAAAAAGATCGGAAACATCAGGAAAATCAGAAGACCGACTAAGTGCAAAAAATGAAAGTGAAAAAGAGCGTGACGAATTTTTATTGAAAAAATGAAAACGATTGCCTCTTTGAAACCTGGAGAAATGTAAAAACCCATAAAGAAACGAAGAAGCAAAGGGGCGGAAGTAAAGACAGGAAAGGATAAGTAAAAGGAAGGCGAGTATAAGGAAATGAGGACAACTGCCTGAATCATTAAACATTCACATTCATTTATGGTTCCAAAAATATCTGCATACTATATGAAGTTAACTTCCCCATTTTCTAGTATATCATTCAAGAAATCAGGTCAAAAAGTAATTAAGGAAGGGAAATCAATCAAGCGTCGAAATATGAATTATCAAAAGATTAGATTTATAATTTTTGAATTTAAAAACTGATGAAAAAAAATGTTACGAGGGGAAATTTTTTCGTTACTTATCAAATTATTTAAAGTTAAAACTGCCAAACATTTTCAATATCACAGATCGATAGTTATACAAGCTAATCAAAATATTTTTTCTAATAAATAGACATTTCATGTCATACTTATACATACAAAATGCAGTTACCAATGATGATCGTGTCAATTATTCCTGTTTAGCTCAATTCAGACAACATTAAAAATATGTAATATATACGTTGACTTAAAATAGATGCCAACAGATATGTAAAAAAAATATTGATGAAAATATGAATATTTATTATGTATGTACCAAATACGATTGGTCTAGAAAACTACATTTGGCGATATATGTTATTTCGAATTTGGAATTAAAAATTGTGCATAATATAAGATAAACAGATCGAAAAACACTGAACCTTTGTAAATATAAAATTTTTGATTATATCACACACTTCTGCACCGAATTCAACGCTTCATCCTTTCTGAAATCAAATTTAGCAAATCAAAAAAATGAAAATCATAAGGTATTTTTGCAACTTATTCACTTATGTGCAATCAATGATATTGATTTCCTTTCCATGAACGACATTCAATCAACGAAATTTAAATTATTTTTGAGTGTACTGTGCTAACGTTTTCAAAACATCACAAATTTCTTTTCTACCTGGAAAATCGATAAGGAATGAGCTCCTAAAAAATTTTGCATAAACTTAAGTCAGCGAAATCATTCATTAGCACACTAATTTATCATTTTTATATTTATAATCGTTAATATTTATGTTGTTCTCACCAAATTTTATAATGACAATTTCATTGTTTCAACTGCAACTTCTGAAAATTTACAGAACGCAAAATTCAAATGGCTTTGAAGTTTTGGAAATCAATAAAAGCCTCCGTATTTTCTTAGGCATAGTAGATGTATATCTCTAGAGGTGGTAAAGCTTTTTCCCACAAGAAATTGTTATAGTAGCAAAAATGAAAAAAAACAAAGAGAGCTAACTGCAAATCTTTTAAATGTTGGTTTTCTCAATGTAAATAATATGTGTTAGACAAATATCCATATAAAAAATGATAAATTTTGGCAGATTTCAAACGATATTGAAAAATAATAAGCAAAGCATAGTTAACTGAGCAGTTGAAAATATCATTAGTAAAAGCAAATTGTTAATGAATGTTTGTTTAAACTACTGGAAACATATCTTTAATTTCATTTGAAATGTTTATTAAGTATCAAAAATGCTTTCGCAGGCAAATAGAGCTAATATTGATAAAGATGATACAGAGATCAGATGAAACTATTTACGCTAATTTACGCGTGCTATTACTTTGGGATGAATTAAACGATAAAAACTTATTTAGATGTTCCCTTCTTATGTAAGAATAAGAAGAATAAGAATAAGGAATGCATCCATCTTCATCGATTTGTAATAAATGTTATATGTGTATATGAGCATTTCTTGATTTTATAGGTTCTCCTTTCTGTTTACTTTTCAACCTAATTAATGGTATTTTTCTGCTTTAAAATTTATAATTTCTTTTTACTTTCGTGAAACACAATACACATCTCATTTAATTCGAGCTTCAATCATCCTCATTTTTTCTAAAAATCCGGCAACTACTGGCCAATTAAAAAGAATGGTAGATTACCATTCTTTTTAATTGGTAATTCTCAGTTACAGTCAATATCAGTCCTCAGCAACGATTCGTTTACTTAAACTGTACGTGAGGAAAAAAATAAAATTTCAGTGAATTAAAGTAAACATGAATTTTTAAACAGACTAATTTAAAGTGCCTAATAAATAATTTTTTCATAACAATAGATTTTTGTATAGTAAGAATAAGACATAGTTTAGGAATTGAAATCAACATCATGCTATGAAAAGAAATTAGATAGTGAAATGATAGTATGAGCATATCCATCACGTTTATAGCAGCGATCGAAAAGACTAAAGTGAAAAGGATCTCTACCAAAAATAAAATGATTCGAAATTTTGATGTAAATTTTCTCTTTGATGGTTCAATTTTATTTGTTTCATTATCACCTCAGACACATTAATTCCTTTGCTACTGCAAATCTCATAACTACTTTCGAAGCAGAAAATTTTATAAATTATAGGATTAGGAACTCGAGGGAGATTGAAAATTATGCAGTTTTTTCAAAAGTGTAATATTTCATTGAAAATGCATAAAATGCATCCAAAATAACTGAACTGAGAAATCCTTGCAAAAATTACTTTTAGAAAATGGAACAAAAAAAAATTTTCCCGCATTATTATCAGAAAAATTGTATATATGGTTCTTTCGTCTTAAATGATATATTTAAAGTGAGAAGAAATGGAAGTAAAGCTTAACACCAAATGAAATTCTATATGATCGTAGTAAAGGAGAGCAAGCGGAATGAAGATAACACTTAATCACTATTTTTTATCTTTTCATCTTCTTTCATCTGAATTAATGTTTAACTCTGCATGTCCAGCTTATGTGATGATTTCAAACAAATGCAAAAATATTATATTAGAAGGTACTTATTAGCAAACAAACAAATATTTGTTATCAAATTAGAAAAATATTCAATTCAAGAAAAAAATTCAATTATTTTAATATAAGAAAAAAAGTGCTCGAATCCTGAATGTGCAAAAATTTTCATCGAAATTTCAATTCTTGAAAGAATGAAAACAAACTTGAAGACAAACTTTTGCAATTTGAAGAACATGTGCAATCAAAATAAACGAACAAGATGAAAAACTGAAGAGATGGAATTTCAAATTATATGAC